ATCATTCCGTAATTAATATCTGTTAAAATTAGAATTATCAAGTTTTATCCAATTTATGGAAATTTAAGTTGAAATATACCATACTTTTAATGCTGGTGTAAATGTTTCATTAAATTCAAAATTCTTTTTTGTAAACAATACAATTATGTTTGGTATTTCTTGAAAGATAAATGTATCAGCTTCAAAATGAAAGCAATTGGCAGCCATAGTGATCGACTGTATGTAGTCCGCATTGAGAAAAGAAGGTGCTCCCCATTTTGCCATGTTCAATTTGTTGGTAAACTAAGCCTGCTGAGCATTTGATGGCGGGGAACACATTAGACTTCAAAGGCATCGCGCAAATGCTCTTCACGCACTGCGGTAGTTTTGTTCTTGGCTCATTTGCATAGCACTGCGTGCGCGTAGTTTTTTGAGTGATCTGCTTCTCAATAATACCCCCATGATATTATTAAGATCAGTGTAAGAGCTTCAACTATATCAATATTCTCAGAAGAGTAAGAAATTGCTGTATCATCAGCATACATTGATATTTTACTTTTTTAATACTTTGGGGCAAATCGTTCACATAAAGCAGAAATAAGAGTGGGCCCAGAATAGACCCCTGTGGAACACCGCAAACATTTTTACAATTGTTAATCATAATATGTTTTTTTAATGATGAATGACTGCGAAACCACTTTCATTGCTATGGCAGGCATAACTAATGTGTAGTCTGAATACCACAGCAAACAAAATATTCCATTCACCAACAGTTGTTGCCGCACGTCGTAACAAACCATTGGTGGACGCAGGGGTGTTGACCTAGTTGCCAGGGCAAACCCTTGATTTCATGTTGCCGAAAAAATATATATGATAGTAAGAAAACACGTATCTTGTAAAACGTATTCAATTTCATTATGAGAGTATTCATGATTTTGTCGTTATCGTTTGCGGCTAAGTTGGTGCCATTACGTTCAAACCTACATTATTATTATTATTATTATTATTACTATTACTATTATTATTATTGTTATTATTGTTATTATTATCATTATTATTATAAGCCAGATAGGGCCTACTTTACAAAGTCTAACAAAGCCTACCTACCTACCTACCTACCTTGGCACGAGGTCAGCTAACTTCGGCTTTTATAGAAAGATTGAAACGCATTAATAGAACATATAATGTACACCGTGTTTCTAGGTAAAAATATATATTAAGTATAATATATTAATATATCATGTTAGTATTATTATTAATATTTTAGGTTATATTATTACCTCAAAATTTAAATTAAAATTATTTATGTAATTATTAATAAGTTATATAAATTTAGTGTTTAGGTAAAACATAAAGAACTATAGAATGACGGATGAATAGGAAAGATACTCAAAGTGGCTCAAATTGGTACAGAAAGTTATATAATAATGATAATCACTCATTATATTTTACGTGTTCGTACTAAATTTTAGGCATTAACCATCAGTGGTTGAATCGAATCAAGGGCCTTGGGTGATTTCCAAAATATCGTATATGAAATGCTTAAAAAGGAACTCTCAGACAAAGCGGTGCTCCTCGACAAAATTATTGCGTTTTACCCAACAGTGTTTGAGTCCCCTCCCCTGTAGGTACCTCTCTCCTCACAGGTGTCACAACGGTCTAAATCGAGGACCTCTGTAGTTCATTCTATGCTAGTCTATAAAACAAAGACCGAAGACCCAAAAAGAAGAAACCCTAGTTTTTCTCTTTTATTTGAATGAAGAGAAAAAAACTTGGGGCATGCTGTAGCCATTCCTTTTACCACAGTGCTCATTTTGCATGGGCAATAAATTACAGAAACTATGATTATAATCCAATTAAGGAGCAATACCACAGATAGGCCTAATGTCCCAAATGATGGTTAGAAATCAGGAAAATTAAAGGTAAAGGGAACACCTCATGTTTTCATTTTTGGGTCCTCGATCTTCGCTTTTTAGCCATCCAGGGTCTAAACTTAAAACTCACGGTCCGAGGAGAGGATTTGTGAGAGGTGTACCATAAGGTCCCGGATACCATTTTGTGGTATTATATGGTGTTTAATAAGAGAACATATGTGGCAAAGACAAGCCAAACCAGTCACTCGTCGCAAATCGTGTTTCAGAGAAAATGGCAAAATCATGCTGGAATGTCAAATTTTTGAAAATCTATTTTATTGCACTAAACTAACCTTTATATACCTACACATCATTCTATGCTATTATTTTCCCAATGTGCAATGTTAAAAGAACATTTTTTAAGGATTTGATGATAGTTTCTGCATGAGAAATGCCTGAAATCATAAACTTTGAAGGCTGATTTCTCATATATCGCTCTTTAAACAGCTGTGTGTTTAAACGCTTGTAACTTCATAAGGAAATGTCCGATTTGAATGATTTTTTTACCATTTTATAGCTATTATAATACTGTATTAATAACTCAAAATCGATTTTTGCGACGAGTGACTGGTTTGGCTTATCTTTGCCACATATATTTAAGGGAAAAAGAACCAATTTGAACAGATTTTCAAACGTGTATAGCTGTATTGGCTGGACCTGTACTTTATCATACCGTAATAAATTTATGGCTAAAAGAAAAAAAACAGTCTGGCCCTGAACTCATGGGTACAATTCCTTTTTCTCCTCTTTCCTTCTTTTTTCTCTTATTGTCGTTTTCTTCTCCTTTTTTCAATTTTTTGGTGGATAGACAGTGGGTGGGTGTATGGGCTCCCGTGAAAAACCTAACAATTAGAAAACTTTATGCGGAAAATGGTCACTGACCATGGCCGGGCTATAGCCTAGGTGGGGCCACTAACTTTGATTGATTTAATTCTAAATATTATTATTAACAACTTTATCATCCATAGATGCCCACTAAGAGCCTCTAGGGGTCTTAATTTGTTTTAAATTTCAATCGATGGGAGGGGGCTATTCCTCTTACCATAGCGACACCCCCGCTTGGTGCTTTTCATGGGCGTCGATCGGTGGAAAACATGGGACATGCATGTCCCCCTACTTTTCAGATTAGGGGGACATCATATCAATTGCCCCCCCCTCCCATTTTTCTCCAATTTTCTATAATTAAAACCCCACTGTTTTTCCTAATTTCAAAAAATTATAGTTAGTCAACTGAATAATTATATACCGTCTAAACAATATACAGCCTTTGACACAGACAGATCTATCTATTTCGATTTATTTAAGTAGTGATACCACAAGTTCCAGTGTTACGTTGGCGTGTAAATGGCAAAGGATTTAAAAGCAGTACTGTATGCATAATTATTAAAATTATTAGAAAAATAAGTATATTTTTATGCTTATAAGTATAAGAATTTGTTTGTGATTTATTGATGTCTTTTTAGCTCATTTGCCAGTATTGAATGCATTAAAATAATGTTATGGCTTGAAATAAGAAAATTCCAGTGCGTGCGTATTTCCGGATCAAAACCGAGTAAAAGCCTAATTTAGTAACCACTACATCAATTTTATGGGTGCAACAGTTATCAGAGGCTATATTTGATGTGAAAACAATGTACTGTACGTTGTTAAAATTAAAAGCATTTTGCATTTTTGTGTTTTGCCTGAAAAACAGGGTTTTTTTGTTAAAAAACATTTTTCTGGTTATTTTAGAAGATAATGTTCTATTACAGCTAAAAGAAATATATGTATTTTGAGTAATATGAGACCAAACTCAAGTCTCCTACGCAAATATTAACAGAGTTACAGAGTTTTCTTTTTTTTTTTTTTTTGCCAAAACCGACATTTTTTAAACTTCAATCAATTGTATATTTATGCATAACTTATTAGAATTTTAAAAAAAATATTACATTTTTCATTATTGTCAGGCTTTAGCTATCATTTGCAACCATTGAAAGAGTGGAAACGTCGATGGCTTCGAAAACATGTTATTAAATTTTTTCCTGGTATTTTGTGGGGGAAATGTTTCATTGTAGTAAATAGAAACATGAGTCATCTAAACAATTTGGTAACAAAACGAAGTCTCTATGACTAATGATAACTGAAATACAGAGTTCTAGTCTTTTTTTCCCCAAAAAGGGATGCATTTTGGCACTTGGTTTAAAGAATTTTGCTTGGGATACACCAGATTAGTAATCAGCAAGGTCAGAATACCCTAAATCAACTGGATCAAAGCTTCTACCCAAAAATGCCTATTGCATCATCAATTGGGATGCAGTAGGGATTCGGAACATCTGCATAAGATACTACTTTAGGCAATATTTTTTTGATACCTTGTTTAGAGAACGCACCACCAGCCGAAAATAAAAATTGGAATTAAAAATAAAATTGTATTTTTGACCAGTTAACACACCTGCTGACTAGAATTTTACCAGAAAGAAATATGAATGTATAGTTTTCACAATTAAATAAATAAATGCATTTAAAAGATCAGAGCAAACTTATAACGCAGTAATCTGAGTGTGTAGGCCTACAATTGATCACAACACACACAAAAGGTGTGCTAGCACGATTTTTTTTGTCCCTCCTCCACTCAGGTACTTTTGGCAGGATATAATTTTGCTAAATCAAAAAATAATATTTGTATTTTTATCTTTTCCTTCCCGCTGCTGAACACTTAAAAATTAGGCGCGTTAAACAAGGTATTAAAAAAGTATCGCATTGTAGGCCAGTATCTGATTTTCAACAAAAAACTACACAGAAAACAGCCTTTATTTTCCAAAATGTGTGGGCAGATTTCGAGACTCAATTTATTCCCCCATACATGCCTTATCCCGGGGGAGGACCCCCTTTCTTTTTGGGGTTTTTTTTGGAAACATTTTGACATCCCACCTCCCTCTCCCAGGAAATTTAAGTGATGATAGTATTAATAATAAAATAATATTTTTTTTGGCTATAGACAATTATTATTCTAGAAGTACAATTTACATTTAATGTTTTTAATTAAAATTAATAAACATTTAAATACTGTATTAATGTTGCATTCTTTCTAATTCTGGTTTTTTGATGAATGTATGTTTTTCATTTCAGTAAAAATTCTGTAGAAGGCTGAACATTGTAATATGCACTTCTGAAAATCCCAGCAAACCAGTGGACTCATCCTCCTCAGCTCGATGACTATAATGTTGCTTTCGTGTTTTGCGCTCGTTCATTCTGCTGAATGGTGAGTGAAAAAACTTGTTCTTATTATGAATTTCATGTCCATTGTAAAAGGCTTTGTGGGATAACGTTCAACCTGGGTGAACACTGAGAATCAACATAATTTAAATACTACAACACAAAAACCCTAATTAGATTATTTAAAAATAAAGTTTTATTTGGAAAATTATAATTAAGAGGGTAATACAATTGGAGCGATAAAAATTAAACAATTATTTCATTTATGTCATTAATACGACAAAACAATGAGCAAAATTACTATCTAAAGTGATTTTCTAATTAGTATTAAATTCCAAATGACTATTATAATTTTGTAAGAAAACAAATATTCTGATAAAATAATAAGATTAAGATTAATTATATATGCCCGTTTATTATTTAATAAAATAATAAAATTCAATAATAATAATTATTCAATCCCGAAATACCCCGAGATTGGAAGGCAAGCATCTTAACTGCACTCCTACTCTGCTCAATAGGGTCTAAACTTACATTTGAATGCTAATTAATTGAGAATAAAAGTAATATAGTTCTAATACAGTGTATGATTTCAAGTTTTGGCTGTACTAGCTTACTGTGTGGGCAGCACTTGTACTCTACCAATGGAAACTCAAAATCTCTTACTAGTGCAATTTTACTACTTTTATTAGGTATAATTTGAACCTAGTTAATTTTAAAATCACAGCTCCAATGCTACTGCTGTGTGTGTTATGCAGCTTAAAGCATTAGTTAGTATTCCACATTGTCTTTTTGCAATGGACCTATTAATTGTTGTATTCCTTTTCATGTTTTATGGACTTAATTGCCGTTTTAGTATTCCACATTGTCTTTTTGCAATGGACCTATTAATTGTTGTATTCCTTTTCATGTTTTATGGACTTATTGATTGCTTATTGATGTATTGTCGATGACATATTCTTTCCCTCCCCAATAACAATTGTCTTTCTTTTCTTTCTTTCTTTTGTATTTCAGTGAATTCATCCTGCTCTATGGCTTATTCCGAAAACTGATTGACAATCGCACGATTCTGATGTATTACTGAATAATTTATTGTAATGATATTGAATAAATAAATATTCAGTTAAATATTGTATTCAGTTTAATATTGAATAAATAAATATTAATTGTATTCAGTGAAGTATTGAATATTGTTTTTTTCCTTCAGTATTGAATGGGTAGGATGGTTGGGGGAAAAAAAAAAGCGCCCTCGAATAGGAAAAGGCCCAAAATATGACTAAGTTATTTGGCCACAATAGTCTGTCCGGTTCTGATAAAAATAGTGAAGAAAAGCGCCCTCAAACAGCCTTTTTACTCCAAGTTCTTTAGGGTCTCTTAATTGTCAATGACAGAGAAAAGCGCCCTCTAAAACCAAGTTTTTCAGTACTCCACAATTGTCAAGCTTGCTAAACTGACAATTAAGGGGCACTAAAAAACTGGCTATTAGAGGGCGCATTTTACCTTTCTTGTAATAGGGATTGACAATTAGAGACCCTGAAAAACATGGAAATAAAATGGCTATAGAGGGTGCTTTCCTGCACCACAGGGAACCCCTTTAAACAGAAATTTAGAGGCCCTGGTAATTTTGTTTTTCTATTAGAGGGCACTCTTCAGCACCACTTTAATACAAAATGGGAAATCGAAAACTTGGTCCTTTTTCTATTAGAGGGCGCTTCTTTTGTCTTACCTGCTTATCCAGTCTTCAGACACGACCAGCGAAGAAACACATCAACACATTACTTTTGTTTTTTATTATAAAACTTTGCAACCAAAATCATAATATATGAATTTATATAAATGTTCATAAACTATATTTAGTAAAGAATGAGAAACAGCACTTTAATACAAAATGGGAAATCGAAAACCTGGTCCTTCTTTTGTCTTACCTGCTTATCCAGTCTTCAGACACAACCAGCAAAGAAACACATCAACACATTACTAATTTTTTTTATTATAAAAAACTTTGCATCATAATATACTATAAATGTACATAAACTATATGTTTTCTTTCACCATGATTAAGCTGTCTCAATATTAGATGTTGAACTAATCTCCAGTATATCTTAATTGTCTTGCAAACTATTAGGCTTAACTAAAATTTAAAATGCTTATATTAGAAAAATTAATTATTGAAGTTCTGATTCCTCTTCCCCAGACTGATGCAAGTTGTCTTGATCCAGTAACTTCAAGAACTCTTCAAGATGTTCCAACTAAATTTCAGTGTACGTACATTTCTTGTCCGGCAAAATTAATCGTGCTCTGTTGTTATCTCTGCCAAAAATAAAATTTAATAAAGAATGAGAAACAGCAAATAAAGAGAAACAACTTGTAAAAGTTGAACGAATGAAAAAAGATCAAACTAATAAATTATAATTTCATAAGGTAGTTTCAGTATATTTCACTTGATACTTACAGTGTCATTGATTCTTTGATACGTATATCTTGCAGTAGGGATTTTTGTCTGTCCTCTGTAAACAAACAAATTACAGATCACTATATGATTATACATTTTTTTTAATTTAAAGAGGAATGAAATGAGACCAGGATGATACACAAAACCAATAGATGAAACAAGAAAACAGGCTAAAAAATATGGAGCGAACACGAGGATACTACAGGAACAGCAAGAGAGGGGAAATTATAGAGAAGCAGAAAATGAAAAATGATAAACCAAATGTGGGAAAATATAGACAATAATGTGTTTCAAAATTCATACCAAAGACCTAAACCATAACAATGGCTACAACCAAGCTTTAGGTCATGGATTTTTTTACTGCATTTGGCACGAATGCACTATTAAAATTGAATTTGAGGGCTAACACTATGTTTGAAAACATACAAAATACAGCTAACCTGAACTGCGAGCACACACACGCTTTTAATTTACTATCTATTTAGTACCGTTATTTTATCATATTCAGTATAAAGGTCGGGGTACACATTTCATAAATTCAATCATTTCTATGCTCAATTTAATGATTGGCATGTTAGTACAAAATAAACAAGATAATTTCAGAACTATTTTATATAATTTTTTTCACTTTTTAGGCGACAATACATTTTTATGTCAAACAACAAAGATTTCTTCAAACTATAAGGCACCAAATGTACTTTCATTATTTAACAAAATTATATACATATAATTCAACATTTTTTCATTATATACATAATTAGTTTTTGCTTCAAACAATTATAATTGGTGGAGCAATTTTCTTTTTTTATAAATACAATGTTAAAACAATTTTTTTATAATGACTTTCAGCACTACAATTATTTATAAATAATCATGTTTGGCTACTTTAAATATTACATGTGTTTAAAAATTCATAACCAACGAGAGTTTGGAAATTCAACTTCGCTTTACAATCTTTCAACAAAGTTGATGACATCAACGTCAGACAAACATCCAGGCCATTTCGAAGGTTCCTATTGCTTTACAGGATAGGAACCACAAAAAGAAATGGAAATTAAGTAGAGTATTAGTATAAGCTACTACCTCAAAATTATAACCATAAATATTGAGAAAATTTATTTTTTATTTAGCAATTACCCGCAGTCATGGTTACATGGTTCATGTTTTTGTAATCCTCATCTTTATGTGCCATGCTCTCCAAATAATTCAATCTTCAGCAACTCTTAAAACATCCTCAACAGCAAGTTTGAGTTCCCTTGCAATGTTATCTATAATCATAGCACTTGGTCTTCCTCTTGCTTTCCTTCCTTCAATTTTTCCCTTCAAATTTAAATGTTCCATTTTTTTCTTTCTAACCAGATCCCAATAAAATTATATTTCCTGCCTTGTATTTCTGCTATTAAATGTCTTTCTGTCCTTGCCACACAAGAACTCATTTATTAGTGGTATGTGTACCACTGTATCATCAGCATTCGTGTACCAAACACACTTGTGGCGATAACTAAAAGTTAAAATGCTTTACACGGCCTATTATTTTAAAAGTCAATTCTTCAAGATGTTCCAGCTAAATTTCAGTGTACTTTTCTTGTCTTGCTCTGTTGCTGCATCTGCCAAAATAAAATTTAATAAAGAATGAGAAACAGCAGAAAAGAAATTTAAACTTGTAAAAGTTGAAACAAGATCAGACTAATAAATTATAATTAACTTCAGACTTACAGTGCCATCGATTCTTTGATACATATATCTTGCTGTAGAGACTTTTGTCTGTCCTCTGCAAACAAATAAATTACAGATCACTGTATGATTATACATAGTTTTTAATTTAAAGAGGAATGAAATGAGACCAGGATGATACATAAGAATAAAAAGCCGAATAAATTAAATTGGAGAGACCAAAAAAAAAACAGGCTAAAATAAGGAGCAAACACGAGGATACTACAAGAGAGAGGGAAATAATAGAAAAACAAATAGTGAAAATGATAAATGGCGGAAAGTATAGACCAAATATACAAATGAGCAAGAGAAGGAAATAATAAAATAAGAACAGAAAAGAGGAGGAGAATGAGGAACAGCAGATAAAACGACAGAAAGACAATAAACACAGGATACACATGAGGGTGTATTTTCGGTAGATTGAAAAAAAAAAATCCATAAAAACTAACAATGTGTTTCAAAATAACTAAAAGTTAAAATGCTTTACACGGCCTATATTAGAAAAATAATCTACAATAGTTCTGTTTCCTTTCTTCGTCTTATTATAATTTGATCATACCTTCTGTACAATATGATCAATATTTCAGAATGATACAAGTTGTCTTGATCCAGTAACTTGTTATTAAAGATACAATAATTGTTTGTGTTCTTTCACCGGGATTACTCTTTCGAACTCTTCTTTTTTCCCTTTAGGCCTACATATGGAAAAAAAAAATACAAAATTGACATGGTAGGCAGAGCGGAACAGGTACAAGTACGAAAATAGTGAAACATTTAAATATAAATAATAGAATTTTAGTTTCTATTATTTAAACACTATTTTTGGCATGATGAGGAAGAGTAAAGAAAAAAAAATGAATATGTCTGCTTGAACGCTGTATGGAGTAATTATCATCTTGAGAGAAATGAGATATATAAAGATGAGTAGGATGTGAAACATATAAATCAATATCAAAATCGATTTCTCTCTCCCTCATCAAGTAAAATAGAGTTTTTCCTTCATTGATTATCCTGGGAGACTGCTCAGGGATAAAATCCCAGGTCATCCGCAGATCCCAGCAAAGAAAATAACAGAGTGAGACAATAATGTTTGATGTAATTTCAGATAATATAGATACACATGAGAGTATTTTATATTTTATACCTCTTTGGTTTCATGTCTCCTTGACCTAAAGTTGTTTTGTTAGATTGAAAAAATCAATAAAAACTAACTTGATTTTTGTTCTCTCCCTACACACAGAATTTATCAATTGATTCACACGCCCATTCAGTCACCCAGTGGCAAGCTAAAAATAATGTGTTTCAAAATAACTAAAATTTAAAATGCTTTACACGGCCTATGTTAGAAAAATAAATACCAGTAATTCTGGTTCCTCTTCCTCATCTTATTATAATTTGATCATACCTTCTGTACAATATGATCAATATTTCAGAATGATAAAAGTTGTCTTGATTCAGAAACTTGTTATTAAAGATACAATAATAATCGTTTGTTCTTTCACCGTGATTACTCTTTCAAACTCTTCTTTCTTCCTTTATTGTGGAATTGTATAAAAAACAAATTTAACCTAGATCACTTACCAGCTTTTTCGAACATTGTACTTGGTTCTGAAACCAAAAAATTAAATATGATATACAGTCTTGGAACATTCTATTTATACAAAGCACGTACTTTAAGATATAATTGTAAATGGAACTTGGATTCCACATCAAGACCAAATATACAAATGAGCAAGAGAAGGAAATAATAAAATAAGAACAGAAAAGAGGAGGAGCAGATAAAACGACAGAAAGACAATAAAGTCGACGTGAGACAATAAACACATGATACACATGAGGGTGTATTTTCGGTAGATTGAAAAAAAAAAAATCCATAAAAACTAACTTGATTTCTGTTGTTAATAGATTCTTACTCCCATTGTGTCACCAATTTGCAAGCTAACAATGTGTTTTAAAATAACTAAAAGTTAAAATGCTTTACACAGCATATATTAGAAAAATAATCTACAATAGTTCTGTTTCCTTTCTTCATCTTATTATAATTCAATCATACCTTCTGTACAATATGATCAATATTTCAGAATGATACAAGTTGTCTTGATCCAGTAACTTGTTATTTAAGATACAATAATTGTTTGTGTTCTTTCACCGGGATTACTCTTTCGATCTCTTCTTTCTTCCTTTCTTCAATTTTTTCCCTTTAGGCCTACATATGGGAAAAAAAAATACAAAATTGACATGGTAGGCAGAGCGGAACCAGCACAGAAATGGAAGTCCATAAATCGCTGGTCTCGGAACAGGTACAAGTACGAAAACAGTGAAACATTTAAATATAAATAATAACATTTTAGTTTCTATTATTTAAACACCAGATAGCATTTTTCCATTAAAGCGGTTGCCGAATGATCGACTGTTTTTTTGGCATGATGAGGAAGAGAGTTCCATTTAGAAACAATTCTATTAAAGAAAAAAAAATGAATATGTCTGCATGAACGCTGTATGGAGTAATTATCATCTTGAGAGAAACGAGATGTATAAAGATGAGTATCAAGTAAAAAAGAGTCTTTCTTTTATTGATTATCCTGGGAGACTGCTCAGGGATAAAATCCCAGGTCATCCACAGAGTGAGACAATAAAGTCAACGTGAGACAATCAAGTTTGATGTAATTTCAGATAATATAGATACACATGAGAGTGTATTTTCTATTTTATAGTTAATATTTTATACCTCTTTAGTTGTTTTGTTAGATTGAAAAAATCAATAAAAACTAACTTATTTTTGTTCTCTCCCTACACACAGAATTTATCAATTGATTCACACGCCCATTCAGTCACCCAGTGGCAAGCTAACAATAATGTGTTTCAAAATAACTAAAATTTAAAATGCTTTACACGGCCTATGTTAGAAAAATAAATTCCAGTAGTTCTGGTTCCTCTTCCTCATCTTATTATAATTTGATCATACCTTCTGTACAATATGATCAATATTTCAGAATGATAAAAGTTGTCTTGATTCAGTAACTTGTTATTAAAGATACAATAATAATCGTTTGTTCTTTCACCGTGATTACTCTTTCAAACTCTTCTTTCTTCCTTTATTGTGGAATTTTATAAAAAACAAATTTAACCCAGATCACTTACCAGCTTTTTCGAACATTGTACTTGGTTCTGAAACCAAAAAATTAAATATGATATACAGTCTTGGAACATTTTGTTTATACAAAGCACGTACTTTAAGATACAATTGTAAATGGAACTTGGATTCCACGTCAAGACTATTTGATATTGAATACAATAAGAAGTATTAAGAATGCGTTGATTAGTCAGGCATCAGGACTGACCCTTTTTAATATGTACAAATGTAAATGTATACAAATATAAGTAGATAAGTTATAGGCCTACATGCACGTAAAAAATTGTCTTTTAATTGTATGCATATGCGCCTTTTCATTTTTAAGCTTGTTGTAAATATATAAAACGGATATTTTATGACATGATTTATGAAAATCAAAGAGAAAAGAAGAAATAAAAGTGGGTTTAATCCCCACTAAAGAGAAAAAAACTCTTCAAGATGTTCAACTAAATTTCAATGTACTTTTTTTATCTTCCAACATTGATCATGCTCTGTTGCTGCATGCATATAATTTAATAAAGAATGAGAAACAGCTGAAAAGAAATTTAAACTTATAAAAGTTGAAACAAGATCAGACTAATAAATTGTAATTAACTTTAGTATACTTCACTTGATTCTTTAATACATGTGTCTTGCAATAGAGATGTGTCTGCCCTCTGCAAACAAACAAATTACAGATCGCTGTATGCATTATACATTGTTTTAAATTTGAAGAGGAATGATGCAGAATAAAGAATACAAAACCAAAAGATGAATCTAAAATATAATTTTTTACCTGGAAATTTGTTATCATTATTATTGTTCTTTTTTCCCCATTTTTATTTTATTATTCTTATTAAATCCGGGGCTGCTTAGTAACCCAAACGCATCATTCAGAGGTGTGCAGTTTAATATTATTTACGTTAGGCCTATATTATTCCGGTGCCATATCCCAGGAACATAGGTCCTTCACCGATTAGAAATCTCGGATGTGATATAGACGGAACAAAAAGGATTTTTGTTTGATGTTGATATGAAGGTGATGTCTCAAGAGGTATCAGGACTTACTTCACGGTAACTAAGGCCAAACAAATAAACCAATAGTTTTACTTATAAAATGTTTTTTTTTTCTTTTCTTGGACACTCATCAAATGATCGATAATGTTAATAGTTTTCTAAGATATATATTATAAATTAATTGAAGTTTTTAGTAACGTGCTAGTTTCCAGCTACCATTTTAAGTGGCATTTATCATGGTTTTCACCAAAATTGACCTGGTCGGTTTTCTCAGATTCAGCCACATGGGCCTAATTGAGTATCATCATCGTTATTAAAGATTAAAATTAGGCATTAAGTGGAATTTATCAACCTGCAGAGCACTCCAGGCTGTGATCTGTAGGTGCCATGGAATACAAAACAACTGGAAAATGGCGGGGTAAAAAAAAATCGTCCAAAAAAAAGTATGAGCTATAGCTCATGGTTTTTACCTTGGTCGTTTTTCCTAGATTCGGCCACATGGGCATAATTGAGTATCATCCGATTTATCGTTATTTAAGCTTAAAACTAGGCTTTGAGTGGCATTTACCAACCTGCAGAGGACTCTTGTGATCTGTAGGTGTAATGGAATACGAAACATCTGGAAAATGGCGGGGTAAAAAAAAATCGTCCAAAAAAAGTATGAGCTATAGCTCATGGTTTTTACCTGTTCGTTTTCCAAGATTCGGCCATATGGGCCTAATTGAGTATCATCCGATTTATCTTTGTTTAATCTTAAAACTATAGGCTTTAAGTAGCATTTATCAACCTGCAGAGGACTCTTGTGATCTGTAGGTGTCATGGAATACGAAACATCTGGAAAATGGCGGGGTCAAAAAAATCGTCCAAAAAAAAGTATGGGCTATAGCTCACGGTTTTTGCCAAAATTGGCCATTTTTTAACATGGTCGTTTTTCGCAGATTCGGCCATTTGGGCCTAATTGAGTATCATCCGATTTATCGTTAATTAAGCTTAAAACTAGGCTTTAAGTGGCATTTATCAACCTGCAGAGGACTCTTGTGATCTGTAGGTGTCATGGAATACGAAACAACTAGAAAATGGCGGGGTAAAAAAAAATCGTCCAAAAAAAGTATGAGCTAGGCCTATATATATATAGCTCATGGTTTTTACCAAAATTAACCAATTTTTAACTTGGTCGTTTTTCGCAGATTTGGCCACATGGGCCTTATTGAGTATCATCCGATTTATCGTTAATTAAGCTTAAAACTAGGCTTTTAAGTGGCATTTATCAACCTGCAGAGGACTCTTGTGATCTGTAGGTGTCATGGAATACGAAACAACTGGAAAATGGCGGGGTCAAAAAAATCGTCCAAAAAAAAGTATGGGCTATATATAGCTCACGGTTTTTGCCAAAATTGGCCATTTTTTAACATGGTCGTTTTTCGCAGATTCGGCCACATGGGCCTAATTGAGTATCATCCGACTTATCGTTAATTAAGCATAAAACTAGGCTTTAAGTGGCATTTATCAACCTGCAGAGGACTCTTGTGATCTGTAGGTGTCATGGAATATGAAACAACTAG